TTTCGGCTTCCCGTTTCTGTTCGTACTGCGCCTTGCCGGACGGCCCTTTGGGCTTTTGTTCGGCTGTAACGACGGGAGCTTTCTGTCGATTTCGCGCATCGACTCCGATTTGCCGGTCGCGTAGGAAATCGTAAATGCCGCCCAGGTGCTCCTTGACCCGTCCGTCGCGGAATTCGTATACCCGTTCGACCAGCCCGTCGAGGAACTCGCGGTCGTGCGAAATGACGATTACCGTGCCGTCGTATTTTCTGACGGCGTCTTTGAGGATGTCCTTCGAACGCAGATCCATGTGGGTTGGTCGGCTCGTCGGAGTACCAGCAGGTGTATGGTTCGAGCATCAGCCGGGCCATAGCCAACCGCGCCCGTTCTCCTCCGGACAGTACGCGCACCTTCTTGTCGATGTTCCTCGCCGCGGAACAGAAATGCCCCCAGGATATCGCGCAAGTCGCGTCCGAATGTCGCGACGGCCACCCGGTCGAGCGTGTCGAATACCGTGAAATCGCCGTTATCAGGTCGTCCTGATTTTGTGCGTAGTAGCCGATGGGGACGTTGTGTCCGATGCGGACGCTGCTTCGGTCGGCTCCAGTTGCCCGATCGCATCCGCGCGAACGTGGTGTTCCCTTCGCCGTGCGGCGAGCCGACCAGCGCGATTTTTTGTCCGCGTTCGATCGTAAACGTCGCGCCGAAAAGAGCGTGCTTTTCGCCGAAACTTTTGCCGGCGTCTTTCGCTTCCACGACGATCTGTCCCGAACGCGGGGCGGCGGAAACTTGATGTTCAGCCGGCTGAGGTCTTCCTCGTCCACTTCGATCCGTTCGATCTTTTCGAGTTGCTTGATGCGCGACTGCACCTGGTTCGATTTGGTCGGCTTTGTAACGGAAGCGTTCGATGAGTCTTCGGTGTTGCGTCATCTTTTGCTGGTTCACGTAGGCCGCCATCTGCTGCTCGCGCCGTTCGCGCCGCAGCTCGACGTACCGGCTGTACGGCACGCGGTAGTCGTACACCTTGCCGAGCGATATTTCGATCGTCCGCGTGGTGACGTTATCGAGGAATGCGCGGTCGTGCGAAATCAGCACGACCGCGCCGTTGTACTCCTTCAGGTAGTTTCGAGCCATCCGATGCTCTCGATGTCGAGGTGATTCGTGGGTTCGTCGAGCAGGAATACCGACGGCCGGCGAAGCAGCAGCTTCGCCAGTTCGATGCGCATCCGCCATCCGCCGCTGAACTCGCTGGTCGCCCGTCCGAAGTCGCTTCGTTGGAAGCCAGTCCGAGCAGCGTCTTTTCGACCTCCTCCTCGCGGTTCATCCCGCCGAGAATGTGAAAGCGGTCGGTCGCATCGTTCAACCGGTGCAGCAGCTTTTCGTACCCTCGCTTTCGTAGTCCGTCCGCTCGGCGATCTCCCGGTTCAGTTGCTCGATTTCGCGTTCGAGTCCGATCACTCCGAAAAGGCCGATTCGGTTTCGGCGAACAGCGTGGTCGTGTCGGCCACCTTCATCTGTTGCGGCAGGTAGCCTACCGTGCAGTCGCCGTGCGCGAAACGGTTCCCGACGAGGGCGGCTGTCTCCGATCAGCACTTTCAGCATCGTCGATTTTCCCGCTCCGTTCTTGCCCACCAGACCGATCCGGTCTTTGGCATTGATCAGGAACGATACCTCCCTGAACAGATCCCAACCCCCGAAGCTGACCGTAAGATTGTTACCGATATCATCGTTGTCTATACGTTCAACAGTTTGTGGATTGTCTCTTCGGATTCGGGCTGGCGAATACCGTGCTTCCGGCAACCAGTACTTCGCATCGGCGGCATACACCTCGGCGGCGTTATCCAGCGTGATTCCGCCGTCGATCTCGCACCGCCTGCGACCCGCAGCGGTCGATCTCCCGACGCAGTTCGGCCACTTTCTCGGTCGATCCCTCGATGAACGACTGTCCGCCGAAGCCGGTTCGACGCTCATGATCAGCACCAGGTCCAGTTCATTGAGAGGGTACGATTGCCGATACCGGCGTTTTCGGCTTGATCGAAACGCCGGCTTTGACGCCCGCTTTTTGATCGTCGCGATCGCGCCGTGCAGGTCGTCGGTCGCTTCGAGGTGGATCGTGACGATGTCCGCGCCGGCCTGGCGAAGCGTTCGATGTATTTTCCGGATTGACGATCATCAGGTGCGTGTCGAGCACCTTTTTCGTTCCTTTGCGGATCGGCGGCATCAGTGGAAATCCGAACGAAATGTTCGGCACGAATACGCGTCCATCACGTCGATGTGCACCCATTCCGCTTCGCTGCGGGCGAGCATCGCGATATCATCGGCCAAATGTCCGACGTCCGCCGAGAGCACCGAAGGGGATATGATTCTTTTCATGTTCTGAAGTTTTGGTTTTGTAAATGTCAATTTGTACAAAGGTAATGATTTATAGCATTTTTGTTCGCGGCGGCGTTGCCGGCTAAATTTAAAGGACAGGAGAATGATCGAAGCGGGTTTGTTGTTCATCGGATTGGTGCGGGAATCGCGGCGGCGGCGTTGGCTTTACGGCCGGCGTTCAGGCGGTATGCGCGGACGGAAGAGGCGTTGAAAGCGGATAATGAAGCCAAAAAACGCACAGTTGATCGACCTGAACCGCCAGCCGCCGAACGGGCGGCCGGTGTGCGGCCCTCGAGGAGAAATTGCTCTATCAGCAGGCCGAAGCCGAGCGCGAGCGCGCCCGCCGCACCGAAGAGATCGCCGCGCTGCAAGAGCAGCAGCGTCTCGCTTTTAAAAATCTGGCTAACGACATTCTGGAGGAGAAGAGCCGCAGTTCAAGCAGAGTAACGGGAATCGCTGGAGTCGTTGCTGAAGCCGTTCGGGAAAATATCGAAGGATTCCGCAAACGGGTCGACGAAGTGTACGACAAGGAGGCGCAGCAGCGTTTCTCGCTGAAAGAGGAGATTCGCAGCCTGAACGAGATGAACCGCCGGATGTCCGAGGAGGCCAACAACTGACGCGCGCGCTGAAGGGCAATTCGAAGGTGCAGGGCGATTGGGGCGAAATGATCCTCGAAACGATCCTCGATAGTTCGCACTTGGTCAAGGGGATTCATTATTTTACGCAGGAAAACCTCAAAGACGCTGCGGGCAACAACCTGCGTCCGGACGTGATCCTGAACCTGCCGATCGCAAGCAGATCGTCGTCGACTCGAAAGTGTCGCTGACGCTTATGTCGCCTATACCGAAAGCGCCGATCCGGACGAAGCGTCGCGCGCGGTGAAGAATCACCTGCGGTCGGTGCGCAGTCATATCGACGAGCGGCAGCAAGCGTTACCAGGCGCTCGTAGACTCGCCGGATTTCGTCATCATGTTCGTGCCGAACGAGCCGGCGTTCTTGCTGGCGATGCAGCACGACCCGACGCTGTGGAGCGACGCTTATAATAAAAAGGTGATCGTCAGCAGTCCGACGAACCTGTTCGCGCTGCTGAAATGGTCGACGACCTGTGGAAGCGGGACAAGCAGAACAAGAATGCGATCGCGATCGCCACCGAAGGGGCGAATCTGTACGACAAATTCGTCGGTTTCGCCGAGACGCTGACCGATCTGGGGCGCAGCGTTTCGGCTGCCGGGGAGAAATACGAACGGGCGATCAAACAATTGAAAACCGGCAGCGGCAACCTGATCCGGCGTACCGAGCGGTTGCGTGAGCTGGGGGTGAAAGCCACCAAAGACCTGCCTGCGCAGTTGTCCGATTACGACGATGGCGACCCGTTGCGGGGGCGCAGGACGGCCGCTCGGGGCTTCAGGTTGAAAAAAATAACGGTATCGGTTAAATTTTTCTTGTTTTTTCCCGTTTTTGGCGTACATTTGCACAGTTAAAAAATAAAGTATAACAAGCTAATCAGTTCAGAGGACGATGAATCAGCTTTCGCTTTTTTGGGGTTATTATTTTTACTTCTACTTTTTTACCAAAAGCGGACTGGGGTTGCGTTGCCGATAGCGAAGATAAGTGCTTGTGCGAAATAATAAAAATCCCGGTCCGTAAGGAGCCGGGGTTTTTTGTCGATACGGAAGATGTAAAAGAGACAGGAAGATGAACGGAAAGATGAAAGTGGCCATACAGGGTTACGAGGGAGTTTCCACCACATTGTCGCCGAACGGTATTGGGGCGAAGGGATCGAGATCGTGCCGTGCCCGACATTCCGCGAAGTGGCTCGCCAGGTCGAAAGCGGCGACTCGGACTGCGGCGTGATGGCGATTGAGAACTCGATCGCCGGCAGCATCCTGCCGAATCTCGGCATCCTGCATAACAGCCGCCTGCAGGCGGTCGGCGAGTATACCTGCATATCAGGCAGAACCTGATGGCGCTGCCCGGCGTGCGGTTGGAAGATATCGAAGAGGTGCACTCGCATCCGATGGCGTTGTTGCAGTGCGTCGATTTCCTCGATCCGCACGGCTGGAAGCTGGTCGAAACCGAAGACACCGCGCTCAGCGCCCGCCGGATCGCCGAACGGGGCACGCGCAACGCCGCCGCGATCGCCGGCGAACTGGCGGCCCGGCTGTTCGGACTCGAAATTTTGGCTCCCGACATCCATACGATCAAGAACAACTGCACCCGCTTTATGATTCTGCGCCCCGACCACCAGCCGATCGACGAAAAGGCCGATAAGGCGTCGCTGTGCCTGATGACCGACCACCGGCAGGGATCGCTGCTGCAAGTGCTGCGGGCGATGGAGGATTCGTCGATCAACATGACCAAGCTGCAATCGTCGCCGATCCCGAGCGAACCGTGGCACTATATGTTCCATATCGACATGGAATTCGCGTCGATGGACGATTATAACGAAGTGATCGACGTATGCGCCGCGCGAGCCGCGAGCTGCACGTATACGGCGTTTACCGCAGAGGAGAACATTCGTAAATTTTAAAATAGCAAAAGATGAATCCGATCAAAGTGGAACTGGCCGAACGGCTGGGCAGCGTCGAGGAGTACTACTTCTCGAAGAGAGCTGCGTGAGATCGACGAGATGCGGGCCGCCGGACGCGAGGTAATCAACCTCGGCATCGGAAGTCCCGATCAGCCTCCCCATCCGGAGGTGGTGGCCACGCTTGCCGCCGAAGCGGCCAAACCTGGGAATCACGGTTATCAACCCTATAAAGGCGCCGCCGTGCTGCGCAACGCATTCGCCGCTTGGTATCGGGATCGTTACGGCGTAACGCTCGATCCTGTGAGCGAGATCCTGCCGCTGATCGGCTCGAAAGAGGGGATCATGCACGTTTGCATGACCTACCTGGACAAGGGCGATAAAGTGCTGGTGCCGAATCCCGGTTATCCGACTTACCGCTCGGCGGCTACGATTGCCGGCGGGGTCTGCGTCGATTACAAATTGCGCGAGGCGACCGGCTGGATGCCCGATTTCGACGAGATCGAACGGCAGGGGATACAGGGCGTCAAAATGATGATCGTCAATATCCGCACATGCCGACCGGGGCGATACCCAAGAGGGTTTGTTTCAGAAACTGGTGGATTTCGCGAAAAAGCATAACATCCTGCTGCTGCATGACAAACCGTACAGTTTCTTGCGTAACCCGCGTCCGGCGAGCCTGCTTGCGGCCGACGGGGCGATGGATGTGGCCATTGAACTGAACTCGCTGAGCAAAAGCCACAGCATGGCCGGTTGGCGTATCGGGATGATCGGAGCGGCGAAACAGCGGATCGACGAGATCATCCGATTCAAGAGCAATATGGACTCCGGAATGTTTTACCCGATGCAGGCGGCTGCGGCCAAAGCGTTGAGCCTCGGCGACGACTGGTACCGTTCGATCAACAAGTTGTACGGCAGCCGCGAAGCGAAAGCCTATGAAATTCTGAACCAGATCGGGTGTTCGTACGATGCGGGCCAGGCCGGTCTGTTCGTCTGGGGACGCCTGCCGGAGGGCGCGGGCGACTGTTACGAGTTTTCGGAAAAATACTGAACAGCTGCGGCGTCTTCCTGACTCCGGGCGGTATTTCGGTTCGGAAGGGAACCGGTACGTCCGGATCAGCCTTTGCGCGACGGAAGAGTTGTTGCAGCGTTCGATCGATAAAATCAAGACATTGCTATGAAGGCGGCGGTAATAGGTATCGGGTTGATCGGGGGATCGTTCGCACTGACCCTGAAAGATAAAGGCATTTGCGAGGAAGTGATCGGAGTGGATAATTCCGAGCGCAACCGCGCCAAGGCGGTCGAATTGGGACTGGTCGATCGCACGCTTCCG